GGGCCGCGGCAGGGGCGGCGCAGGGGCCGCGTCAGGGGCGGCGCAGGGGCCGCGTCAGGGGCGACGTAGGGGCCGCGGCAGGGGCGACGTAGGGGCCGCGGCAGGGGTCGCGTAGGGGGCCGCGGCAGGGGCGACGTAGGGGCCGCGTCAGGGGCGGCGGAGGGGCCGCGTCAGGGGCGGCGTAGGGGCCGCGTCAGGGGCGGCGTGCCGCGTCAGGGGCCGCGTAGGGGCCGCGGCAGGGGCCGCGTCAGGGGCCGCGTCAGGGGCCGCGTCAGGGGCCGCGTCAGGGGCCGCAGTAGGGGTCGCGACAGGGGCCGCGTCAGGGGCCGCGTCAGAGGCCGCGGCAGGGGCCGGGTAGGGGCCGCGTAGGGGCCGCGTAGGGGCCGCGTAGGAGCCGCTAGGGGGCCGCGAAAAAAAAAAAAAAAAAAAATTAGGGCAGGGCGCAATGCGCTTCGGGCAGCTAAAAGAAAATTCTTATGGTGGGCCCTTAGGAAGGAACGGTCCCATGTAGGAACCCGCTCTATACCATGTGAATAAAGAAACAGGAATGAATGAACTAGGAAAGTGTGAGATACAAATGTGAAAGCTGTACCCCTTAGTGTCTACCCCACTACAGCCTACATTGGCTAAGGCATATATATCTGACAGTCATGTTACCAGTCCAGATGTATCGAGTAGAAGCTTCAGTGAACGTGATAACATATTTCTCGCCGTTGAACCCTTCCGCAGGTAAGTTTAGAATATCGCTGTAAACTTTTTCCATCAATCGATAATCCTCAGCTCCAGGAAAATGAGTCGGGTATGGTTCGTGCGGTAGATTTGCTGCTGGGCAGATCAAGCAGGGTGATGGACGATTAACCGGTTTCATTTCGAGGCCGCCAGGTAAGAGAAGAGAATTTTTGTCGAGAACAGCTGCTTTGATTGTGTTGTTGAGCGTAGATTGCGACGAATGACCAAGACGCTTATGCCAGGTTTCTGCAGTTGATTTGTGTCCTTGTGCACGCAGATAATAATCGGCGTTAGCGAAGAAAGATAACAGCAGCCGATGACCGTCAGCGTGAACATGATCTGTGACTGGTGGAATAAACCTGGTAAGGTTAGGAGGTGGTATTTTGATGTCGACGTCGATGGATTCACCAGGTGAAAGAACCAACTCCCCGCTTTCTTGATCTGATGCTTCAGGTTTAGGCTCAACACCGACAAGTCGTCCGGAGTCGAGGACTTCTATGTCAGCGACGCGCTGCTCTGCTTCAGTGAGAAGACGTCGATCACGATCAGCCGGTGTTTCTCCCCAAGTGGTCTCGTCAGGTTCCTGTGCCCCCCAAGTGCCTTCACCCGTGGCCATATTCGTCGTATCTCCCCAACCACCAGCAAGATAATCTCGGGAGTTCTGGACGTCGTTCAAACCTTGATTGTCGAAGGTCAGCATGACTGCGGCAGCCGTGGTCGAAGACGTGGGTACAACTCCATCACGAGGAACGGTATCATCGGTGTAATCGATGTCATCACGATGTTCCCATGGGCCAAGAGAGAGAATATTCTCGGAGTCGGCAGTGGTGCGTTCAGGTACGAAGTTGAGAACGAACACAGTGTTTTGTTCAATTGCCGTGCCGAGTTTCTTGTCTCCATATTTTAAAGTAAACTTGCCCGGTTCACCAAGAAGAGTAATGCCATTCCTCATGAGCTGTGCAGATGACATCAGATTGAAGCCAAGTCGAGGAACGAGGAGTACATCGTTAAGATGAAGACTGAAGTCTTCGTCAAAAGAATCGAGAATGACGTTACCCATCCAGTGCGCTGTAAGACGTTGATTGTTGGCGACGGTTACAACGCATGGATTCTGAAGACGATGCTGATTGATGACGAAGCGATTTTCTGATGAACACATATGCTGGCCGCAACAGCTATCAAGATAGCAAGTGTTGGGCCCTTCCAAGGTATGTGCAAGGTTGGCGTAGACCTCGGGTGGTATGGGCGTGTTGAGTTCATCATTGAAGTTATTGTGAATACGTTCCTCAGCGTCAGGATCGTAGACTGTAGAAACTGACGTCATACAATTAATAACTTCTTTCGCTTGTGTCTTGGCAGGTGTAGTAGGCGGCTTCGCAGAGTTCGGCTTCGCAGTATCCTGCTTCACAGCTTCTTGCTTCTCTGCTGCCTGCTTCTCAGCTTCACCTGAAGAATCGTTGGAATGTTTCGGTGTAGTCCGCTTCCAAGATGGTTTATCTTTCGACCAGCAGGTATCAATAGTATGTCCTGCTTTGCGACAAAAGGAACAAACGGGTTTGTAATGTGGATTAGAGTAAAAACTGACTGTGTTGTTGACCACCTTTTTCCCTCCTCGAGCGTTGTGCAGGTCCATATTCTGCTGCTCGGCGATGAGAGCGGCACAGAGTGCCCCCTCGGACAACTGTGCTTGCATCCGAAGTATAGAGCGACACTGTCGCCATTCTGGTCCAAGACCCGCGAGTAGCACCGTGTGAAACATAGCGTCGGGGAAGTACCCTCCACACTTCTGAAGTTGATCACGCAAATTTCGAGCGCGGTTGATATACTGCGTCACCTTCTCGCCGTTTATCATCTGTATATTTGACAGCTGCGTCAAAATTTTACTCTGGTTGACAGTGTCCTTTGCCATGTGAACCCCTTGCAGGTATAACCAAGCTGCTTCAGCAGGAGCGACACTGGTACGAAAAGAACGAATTCCGAGCTGTTCAGTCGGTGTCAGATTACGAACGAGAACTGTGTATGCAGTCAGCGACGCCGATCGAAAAGTGGCTTGTTGAAGGGGGGACCCGTGAGATGGAAAGGGTGCTGTGCCGTCGTACAGCTGCCAGAACCCCGCGGTCTGAACAAGAAGCTCAAACTCAAAGCTCCATGTATAAAAGTCTTGACCGTTAAAAGGCATTGTCGTTTTAATTTTCGTTGGATTTGCAGAAGCAGGAATATAATTTCCGGTACCGTCAGCTGATTGTAGCTGATAAAGTGATGGCACCTGTGACCCGTGTTGTGTTTGTTGTCCTTGTCCAGCAGGAACAAAAGAGAAGGAGTTGTTCGACCCGTCACTTCCTTGTGGCATCTGACCATGCTGATAACTGGAGCCATCAATACTCATAGGAGTTGGAAACATCTGGTTAAGTGACAAGACGGCAGCATTAACACGTTGTTGAAGATTTGCTGGCTGGTAAGCACCTTGATATTGATAAGGTCCAGTCAGTACGAAATTGGACTGTTGTCCTGGTTGACTAGAAGAACCAGTGACTGCAGCTGCAGCTGTTGTAGCTGCTGTTGCTGCTGTTGCTGCGGCTGCTGTCGATGATGCCGCTGCTGTAGTTGTGTGTACAGACTGATTGCTCAGTGGCATGCCGTACATCGGTTGTTGCTGATATTGTTGTTGTTGTTGTTGTTGTTGCTGCAGATTTGAATTATCAGCAGCTGGAGACGCTGTTGGGCGTGATGGGCTCGTAACAGAAGAGCCGTTGTTGGACCGTGGAGATCCAGACATAGTTGTAGAGTATGTAGTTGGAAGTTTGTAGTATCCTAAGACGCTCGCAATACCATGTTAGAATTTGAAGTGAGTTTGTAGGATCGTACTACTTAGGATGGTAACTTCCTGTCGTAGCGGAAGTCTTATATGAGTTAAGCCAGTTGTGAAGGCTTTGTCTAGACTTAATAAAGTCTATGTAGTGATATGTTTCAGGATCAAAATGTCTCTGAAATCAGATATATTATAAAATGACAAACATACAAAATATGTAGCTAGAGTAAAGTACCTGTCCGCCTACTGTACTGTGCTATTCTTATCTTGAAACGGTACGTAACTATTCGCGAAGTCTATAGCTACGTGCTGACGTCATCCTAGGTCGCGTAGCGCTTTGCTGACGTCAGCCTATCGGTACTTTACTGTACTACACGAATTTCCTTGAAGTGCTTTACGTCTCGATATTATCTCAACACCTTCCCTTTGGTTCGGGCCCACGCATTTCCATCGGGAACAAATTTGCCCTCACCGAAGCAAAGGTGGTTTTGGCACACATCCTCAGGCGGTTCTCATGGTGCCTCTCTCCCGCCTACAAGCACTTCCCTGTCAGTGCTCTCACTATGCGGGCAGCATTCGGCATGCACCTAATTGTTGAGCCATTGGCAAACCCTTTCTGAGTTTCGTGGATTGAGGCGCAGGTGCGCTTATAAGAAAACACAAAGAAATCAGGGGTGTGCTTATAGTTGAGTCAAACTTATAAGCCCACAGGACAATAAAATGGCAATTATTTCTTGATTTCGTTTCTTACACAGACCGAATGTCTGTCCTTGCTACTTCAATCGAGTCGATACAATATGGGGCGTTGAATGAGAATTTTGCAAGTTGACAGAATATCTGGCTGACATCGCATCCATGGCGTGGTTTTCCAGCTGCACATAGCAGAGCTGAGTCAGTGAGGTGCGTGGCGATGGGGGACCACAGCTATACAAATCTCCTGTGCGCGCTCGCTCTGCGCTCGCAGGGTGCGAACCGAAATGGCCGAGCGAAAACTCGGCGCGAAAGTGTTGGCGAACAGAGCTCCTTCTGTACCGTATCTGTGATGCAAATTCGAACCCGCCCTGGCGAAACTGGCAGGGAAGACACTCGATCTCCCTGTGAGCAGCAGCCACCCGATCCGACCCAAGCACGAATGATGGAACTAAACCTGAACCGAACACCCTGAAACTTACTAGGTCCCTCTGGTTGAACCCTTGATACAGCGTCACCGAAGCTGTACTCTGATTCTGGCCGTCAGATGCCCACGTTGGAGATTCCCGTGTCAAGTTCTAGTCCTTGCCTGGAATACTCCCTCCCATCCCATGAGAAAAATGTTGGTGTTGGAAGGAATTCAACTCCACCATCCAAAATTTGTAATTTTCGCGTGTTGGGTTGTAGTGCTTGTTCCTCCTCTGGATTTTCCTAGCATTTCTTCCCTCCTCCCTACGTCGTAATGCTTCTTTATAACTCCCAGCTGTTCCAGATGACCCTACTGTCAGAGTTTAGCACGGTCACGTGGCAAGATGGAGCCACGTGGCTGCACCCAGTTCCGTGGTGGTTAGCTTTCGTCCCGTGGGCTGGAATAGCAGCCGGAACGCTGTTCCTCGCGTACCGCCTTGTGTATGTGCCGTACCGGATAGTGCGGCTCTGCAAGAAGCAAGGCATTCCATTCCTGCCGTTTAAGTAAGACATTTCGTTCCCGCTTTTAAAGTAAGGCCCTTCGTCCGCCGGTTGAAAAGTAACATCTCGTTTGCGCCATTTCAAGCAATACATTTCTGTTCGTTCTGCTCAAGTAAGCGTACAACTAAGGCACATTCGCGCATTTTCACTTCATTATTAGAAGTTTCCGCTATAACACCGAGCCATTTAATTCTTCTCTACGAGGCACAACCCGATTCTCGTCATTAATGAGTCATTCTCGTCTCACCTCCCTTCCTCCAACTCGAACCGCTTTCTCATCCCCATTTCCCCCCATCCCCCCCGCCCCACTCCGCATCTCCCCCTTCTGAGACGACTAAAAAATCTCCCACCCCCCTATTTCCCTCTTCTGGAACAACAAAAAACTCTTCCCTCCCCCACCCCCCCATGTCCCTCCTCGCATCCTGTCCCCCCCACTTCCATCCCCTCCTCCCATGCACTCCAGGCCTTTCATTGGTCAAGCGCTCGACCTCTACCGCCTCACCCCTCCTCCCGCCCCACCTTCCGCCTCCGCCTCCTCCTCCTGCGCGTCCCCTTCCCCCGACTCCCCCTCTTCCACACATGGCCCGGCTGTGTTCCTACCGCGCCTGCACGAGTGGCGCCAGCAGTATGGGGACGTGTTTGGATTCACTGTAGGGGGGACGGCGCAGCTGGTTGTAACGGATCCTGCACTAGTGAGACAGGTACAGTGACGTGTGTATGGTTATCCGTACCACCTTTTTCGTCTGGTGCTCCCTGAATAAGTCTATCCACCTTTTTCATCTGGTGCTCCCTGAATAAGTCTATCCACCTTTTTCGTCTGGTGCTCCCTGAATATATCTATCCACCTTTTTCGTCCCTGGCAGGTCCTCCTGTCCAGCAGCGGGCGCTTCACCAAGACAGCAGGGGCACGCAAGGCGCTGAGGCTGCTGGGCAACGGTCTGCCTCTCTCAGAGGGGTCTCTGTGGGCCCGCCAGCGCCGCATTGTCAACCCCGCCTTCCGCCCCGCAGCTATCAAGGTGGGCACTATGGGCCCGGCTAGTAGTAGCGCTGTGACCATGGGGCTTCTTGTTGGTAGAGGCTTGTGGCCCTGTGGCTGTCTGGTGCAAGATTATAAGAGACACATGGGAGCATGGCTGCTGGGAAAGGCCCACCTCTCTCAGACTGATCGCTGTGGGCCCAGCAGCGCCGCATTGTCAACCCCGCCTTCCGCCCCGCCGCCATCAAGGTGCCGCATATGCCAGGATGTCGAACCTTTTTTTTGCCCATGGTGGTGACCCTTGCTGGCTCTTGCTGGCCATTGATCCACTTTGGCTGTCACTGTCACTGTTGACTCATTGGCGTTGGTCCTAGCTTCTAACACGTTGACCTGCGTTGACCTGCGTTGACCTGCGTTGACCTGCGTTGACCTGCGTTGTCCCATGCAGGAGATGGTGGGTATCATGGATGGCCAGGGCCAGTCCCTGGCGAACTCGTGGTCGCATCAACTGCAGCAGCAGAGGGAGGGGAATGAAGAGGGAGTGCAGGAGGGTGCTCATAGCGAGCGTGCTAATAAGGAGCGTGCGTGCATGGAGGTGGACGTGCAGGAGAGCATGTCTCTCGTGGCCCTGGATGTCATCGGGCTCGCTGCCTTTGGCTCTGCTGTCATGCACGAGGGGGGCGACGAGGGTGATAGGCTCATGCCTGGAGACGTGGGACGGGAACGAGCAGCAAAGGCAGATAAAGCATCGGCAGTACCAACAGCAGCAGCAGCAGCAGCAGCGCCAGGGGCAGGGGATCCAGTGCAGCTGTACAACGCACTGTCCAAGCTGGCAGAGCTGGGCGCCAAGAGGGTCTTCTCCTGGCGCTCCCTCGTGCCCTTCTACGAGTAAGAACGATTTTATGCCTGCCCCATGCCTACACCGTGTCTGCACTGTGCCTGCCCCGTGCCTGTCCCATGCCTACACCGTGCCTGCACTGTGCCTGCACCGCGCCTACACTGTGCCTCTGCAAGAGTGCCTCTGCAAGAGTGCCTGGATCCTTCCTTGTCCAGTCCAATCTTCCCAGGCTCTGTTTCCATTGCAGTGACAACCCTGCTTCAATCCACAATGCTGCCCTCTCTTTCTTCTGCATGTGTTGCCTCACTTACTTTCTACATTCTCGCCACCCTCCCATTGCAGCATCTTGCCGCTTCCAGAAAACTTTGCCCTCTGGGCAGCAGAGAAGAAGATCCGCAACCTGACCCTGCACCTGATTGGCAAGAGGCGGGCAGCAGCAGCAGTGCATGCGGAGGAGGCACATGGCGGAGAGCAAGGGGGGGCACATGGACAGCAACAGGGGGGGGCAACAGGGCGGGCTGCTCGGGACCTGCTGGCGTTGATGCTGGCAGCACATGACGAGGCAGGCAACGAGCAGATGACGGATCAACAGCTCATGGACGAATGCATCACGTTCCTCCTCGCTGGTATGGGTTTTCCTTGCTGGTAGTACTGCCCTGGTGTTTTGGGATACTGGTTGCGTCTCGAGTCAATTTAAGCAGCAACGAGCAGATGACGGATCAGCAGCTCATGGACGAGTGCGTCACGTTCCTCCTCGCTGGTACGCTCTTTCTGCCTTTGTCTGTTGGGTCGATTTGTATGTGTGTTTTGATTCGACCCAAAGCAAAAACAGCAGATGAAGGATCAGCAGCTCATGGACGAGTGCACGTTCCTCCTCGCTGGTACTGCTTCTGTGTTTAATACTTCGACTGCTCGTCCTGTTTTGAGTCAACGGAGAACGCAACGAACGCCCCTTGTCTTCGGTCTCCTTTCCCTTTCTGCACACCCTCTCTCTTCCTTCCCCCTTCCCCTTTCCCCCTGCGCTGCTCGCCCTTTGTCATTGCCCATCTTCCTGTGTTGCTCCTCTTCTCTCGTTCACCCCTTCCCCCTCCCCCCATGACTGTCTCCCCCCCCCTTCTCTGCCGTCCCCTTCTCTCCCCCCCCCCCACCCTCTTCTCTCTGCCGGCCCCTTCTCTGTGCCGCCGCCCCAACTCAGGCCACGGCACCACAGCTCGCCTGCTGACGTGGACGTTCTATCTGCTGGCGAAGCATCCTGACTGGCAGGAGCGGCTGAGAGCAGAGCTCAAGCAGGCGCTGACTCAGCAGGGGGCACGAGACAAGTCAGCAGGCGCCACAGCCACCACAGCAGCCGGAGCAGCAGACAAGGCGGGGTCAGGGGCAGCAGCTGCGGAAAAACCAGGAGAGACAAACCAAGGGGCGTCTGGAAGGGAGGGAGAGGAAGGGGGACAGGAGGGAGGAAAGCGAGAGGGAGGAGAGCGAGGGGAAAGCGAGAGAGGAGGAGGGGGGCGGGTGACATGGGAGGTGGTAGCAGCGCTGAGAGACATGGGAATGGTGCTGCAGGAGAGCCTGCGCATGTTCCCCCCCGTCTCCTTCATGGGCCGCACGTGCCAGCAGGTACATAGTGCTGGTGCACAGAGGGGGGGGGGGAGTGGGGGGGGATGGGCTGGAGGTAGTAAATGGCTGGGGGGGGCAAATGGGCTTGGGGGAGGCAAATGGGCTTGGGGGGAGCAAATGGGCTTGGGGGGGGCAAATGGGCTTGGGGGGAGCAAATGGGCTTGGGGGGAGCAAATGGGCTGGGCGGGAACACATGGGCTTGGGGGGAGCAAATGGGCTTGGGGGGAGCAAATGGGCTGGGGGGGAGCAAATGGGCTGGGGGGGAACACATGGGCTTGGGAGGAGCAAATGGGCTTGGGGGGGGGGGGGGGAAATGGGCTGGGCGGGGGGGAAATGGGCTGGGGAGATCCACATTGGTGGCGGGTTCATTTTCACGTGCAAGCTCAAATTGGTGGGATGGATTAAAATGGATAGGGTAAATGTTCGTGGGTAGGGTAAATGTTCGTGGGTAGGGTAAATGTTCGTGGGTAGGGTAAGTTTGAATGGGCAGGGAAAACAATATGGTTCTGGTTGGTGTAATTTGAATGGGCTTGATAAATTCAGTTGGGCGGATTAGATTCGAAGGGGTGGGGTAGATTGAAACGGGCTCGCAGGTTCCATGGGTGGAGAAGGGGTGAATTCAAGTGGTTTCCATGTTCCATGCAGGCTGCCACTCCTCCCCACTTTCTCATCCTCACCTGCTCTCCGTCTCGCTGCACCTGCCCTCTACAGACATGCAGGTTGGGACCGTACGACCTACCCCGGGGCACGGACGTGCTGATACCAGTCGCCATGCTGCACTACGACCCGCGCTTCTGGGGACCCCATGCGCTCGACTTCAACCCCAACCGCTTCGCCAGTCAGTTCCCTTCGTTGCCTTCGCCCTTGCCCCTCCTCGATGTCTTCTTCTTTTCCTACTTCTTTGCCATCGTTTTTGGAAGTTCTCAAATATCGCGCACAATTACTTCTGGGGGCGCCACGCCCTCGACTTCAACCCCGACCGCTTCGCCAGTCAGTCCCCTTCGTTGCCTTCGCCTTTTCCATTCCCGCGTTCCCTTTTAGCATGTTTGCAGCATCACTCTGTTTCTCCTCCCAATTTGTTCTCACCAGTTTTCATGTGATTTATTGTGATTTCATGTGCCCCTATTTCGGTTCTGCTGTATTCCCTCGCGGTCTTCTTCACAGTACTCTAGCACCAGGTGGTTTGAGTGCAATCATTCATGTTTCTCCACCACCCCTTCTTCTCTCGTGCATCCGATGATCCCAACACATTTCAGACGGTCCAGATGAAGCCTGTTCTCATCCCCAGGCATTCCTTCCCTTTGGTTCGGGCCCGCGTATTTGCATCGGCAACACTTTTGCTCTCACCGAAGCTAAGGTGGTTTTGGCACACATCCTGAGGCGGTTCTCGTGGCGCCTCTCGCCGGCCTACAAGCACTTACCCATGAGTGCCGTCACGTTGCGGGCTGGATTCGGCATGCACCTACTTGTTGAGCCATTGGCAGATCCTTTTTGACTTCCATTCCATGTCGAACGTTGTCGGTATATGTTGGTGTTGCTGGCAATGGCTTCCCATGGCACAAAATGTAGAACCTATGCTATACAGCAAACATATGGTAGTAGTTTATTCATATATCTGCATGCAGTTATATGAAAATACACGATATACTATGAGTCTGGCTATTATGTATATTCTGACCACCAAGCCTTGTCACTGCCAAAGGAACTTAAGTTCCATACATAAGTTAGTACATATAATACGGTTAATTCGAGCTGTTACAAGAAGTGTGGTCACTGCTCTTCCAGACCTCCGGGGCAGCTGATTTCATTCCAGACTTTTGTGTGGTTGCGGGTTGGTGAATATCTGAAAACAATCCAGGGTCAGCATCTCCCTTGCTCACCTTTCCAGACCACATCATGCCACTCTGTGGCTGGAGGCATTTTGAAAAATTCGATTTCGTTCCCCGTGACGTTCGCATGACGAAGAGATACTTCAACGAACAAGGTTGGCCACAAGATGAGGCACGGACAATCCAGTCTGACTAATATCTGACAACCTTTTCTCGTTCTTAAGCTGTTCAAGCTGCCCGTACAGTCCCACCTTGTCAAATCATGATTTCTGTACACAAGCCTCTGTTTCTGGATGGTCCTCGATTTCCGTGAGGATTTTTCTGGGCTCAAACGAGTCAGCATGGTCCACCTGTCAACTGCTCTCCAGCAGCAATATCATCTCACCGCAATTGGGGCTGGTATGGATTCTGGGAGATGGCTGTTAGTCTGGCTGGAAAGGTGCTGGCTGGGTTGGTGGTGGTGGCGTGGCATGGCGCTTCAGTTACCCAGTAAAGTTCCCTCCTTTTCCCACCACAAGATTTTTTATTCCGCCAGTCGCAGAAACCGAATCATCTCACCCTTCACATCACGTGCTGTACTGCTGCCTCGTCTGTCACTAGACTACTACAGTAATAAGTCGTGCGGATCAACAAATTGGTAGGAATTCATCCACCTCCTGTCTCTGTTCGCCCGTCCTGGCCCGAATTTGCGGGGTGACAAGGCAAATGAAATGGCATAAATCGCACCCGGGAAGTTCTGAAAGGCTCGACCGCCGAAACGGCGAATTCGAGATATTCTCCACCACGGCATCTGTGCCTGCCATTTCGGCCTCGCGTTCGCTTGGCTGATATTGCCTGGTAGGATGGTGCGCAAAAAAAGCCGCCTGACCGTGCCCCGGTGGTACAGCATTTGATCCGTCATTCCGAAAGCCCCAAACTCGAGTTCATCCGTTCAGCAAACCAGCCAACCACGGGCGAGCAAGTGATATCCCAGAGCGGCACGGGAAGCAGCGAGGGTTTCAAGGAAGAGGAAAAGATTTTTCCTCGGCCTTGGCCCTATCCCACTGCAGCCACAGTGGTCAGAAAGGCGGAGGAAAAAATCCGGATGCAACGAGGAGAAAGGAGAGCCACACACGTGTTGATACAGGGAACACATTGGAGTTTGTGTAGGTAGCTCTCACCTCATCTATTCATGCAAGACTCTCCCTTCCTATCTTTCTAATGTTAGCTTGTGTTTCTCTGATCTTCTTGAATGTTCACGACGAAATGGTCAGCCATTTCCACGTCATATGCCAGAAATATCGCCTTTCAATTCTAATAACCGAATCGGGATCATATTCCGTCCTTAGCGTGTCTACTAAGGACCAGGCGACTGCGATAAGGAGCAGAAGCCAGTATGGCCGGAGAGTTTGGGGATCAGGAGTTAGATTTGGTTAAGAGAGACGCTGTAAGAGGCGGCGGTTTGAATGCTGATGAACGTCGGCACGGTCACGGTCTAGATAGGGAGTTTGACCGGATAGCTCTCGCAGTTGATCAGATGTACGATCAGAATAACGACGAAGTAGGCAGGCAGATCTTCCCGCAAAACCAGGAAGAGCAGAGCCCGTTACAACCCGAACCTCAGACTCAACAACAACCGAATACCGATGCTGTTCTTGGCGCGGACGTCGCTTCAGGAGACGAGAACGGATCCGGAGGCGACCAACGAGACAGGCAGGCGGAAAACGAGCAGCAGCAGCAGCAGCAGCAGCAGCAGCAGCTCGAAGCTAATAGCGATAATGAGGAGGAGGATGACGGGGATGAGACGGGCGACGACTTTGAGCTGCATGACGGGCAGAACGAAGCGGGCGGCGGGAGCGGCGGCGGCGGGTGGGGGGTATTGATGGAGGGCTCACTGCGCGTGCTGCTAGTAGAAGACGATGACTCCACGCGCCACGTCGTCTCGGCGCTCCTCCGAAACTGCTCCTACGAAGGTGGGCCGCGAGCTTAACGTCCGCGGGATCGACATCCGAGGCGCCTGAAAACTGCAAAGTTAATTTAGGCGCCTCAAGAGATGGTGACCGTGAACCTAGTGACTTCGGGGAAAGGCTATCCGAAGCTCGTTTTTTCGCGTAGAATCAGCCGGCGTGAAATAGGTCGGCGTTAGATATCTGCCGGCGGTCAGTGCGTGCCGGTAGGCGAAGGAGTCGAGACGAGTTAAACGTGCCGTTTGTGGGGTATGCTGCTAGTGAGTACGATAACGTTGTCGGGTGGAGTGTATTTGCGAATGCACGATTAAGTCTCGGCGGATTGGTACTGAAGCTGGGTGTAGATCCAGATCAGCGGCTCGTTTACGAACCGCTGGCCGCGACGACACTTGCGGAGGGGTGGAGCTTACGCGAGGAGCAACTGTTAACTCATTAACGTCCGACTTAACAGCCAATGCGTTCAGTTGCCGTCTTGCTGCCGTTCTCCATTCTCTCTGCGTCTCAACACCCATTATCGTAGCCTCTCTATCTCAAAAACTCCCGACACCCCCCCTCCCCCTTCCAACCCCTCCTTCTCTCCCCCCTCCTTCTCTTCCCCTCTTCCCCGAACCCCCCTTCTCCCCCTCCTACTTCCTTCCTCCCGCCTTCTCCCCTCCAACCTCGACCGCTTCTCCCCGATACAGTCACACCCGCGTCGAGCGGGCAGCACGCATGGGAGCTTCTATCGAGCGGCAGCGGCGGGCGGTTCGACCTGGTGCTGACGGACGTGGTGATGCCGGGGCTGTCGGGCATTGCGCTGCTCGCGCGCATCATGGGCAAAGAGGAGCTGCGCGGCATCCCCGTTATAAGTACGTGCTGGCGCGCGCAAGGCAGGCACGCGTCGTAAGAACAAACCGGCTGCAGGGCCGCCGTGCTGCCTCGCAAATCTCACGTCATGTGGATGTGTTTCCGCGTTGCTTTCTGCAAAAATTTCATGTCATGGCACAGTGGCATGGAGATCACGGCACTCAAGCGCTCTTCGTCCTTGTCCCGCTCCCTCCCAACCCCCAGTGATGTCGTCGCACAACAGCATGGAGATGGTGTTGAAGTGACCGATAGTCGTTCCCTGCTGACCGTTCCCCCCCCTCCGCCCTCCAACCCCACTTCACCCTTCTCCCCCGTCGCAGTGATGTCGTCGCACGACAGCATGGAGATGGTGTTGAAGTGTTTTCAGAGGGGTGCAGCGGACTTCCTCGTGAAGCCAGTGCGCAAGAACGAGCTCAAGAACCTCTGGCAGCACGTCTGGCGCCGATGCCACTCCGTACGCCCCCTCGCCCTCTCTCCCCCTCTCCTCTCGCCCCTTTTCCCTCGCCACTCCTCTCCCCCGCGTTTCGCCGTGCATTTTCCCTCAGCGTCCCCTCCCATCCCTGGCCGTCCCGTCTCGCCCCCGCCCTTCCCCTCCCGTCCCCCTCGTCTCTCCGTCCTGACCTTTCAAGTCCGATTTCGAGATGCTGCTTTTTCCGTTTCGCTCCCTTGTACCTGCACACTTGTCCACATGCTCTCCCTGCATGCCGCTCCCCTTCCTCATCCGCGTCTCCTCTCTTCCTTCCTCCTTCCCGCTCTTTCCTTTCCTGCCTCTCTTCCCTCTCCTCCCTCTCCTCTCGCTCTCCGCCCGTTCTGCCGTTTCCCTCGCCCCCGCTTCTCAGTCGAGTGGCAGTGGCAGCGGCAGCGGTAGCGGCACCAACGGCAAGGTGCTCATGGGACTCGCCAATCAGCGCGCGCCCAACGCCGCCTACGCCGCCGCCGACGGCGCCGCTGCTGCCGCCGCTGCTGACGGCGACGGCGGCGGTGGGGCCGGGCGCGGTGGGGAAGGGGAAGGGGAGGGGGAGGGGGAAGGAGATGATGTGTATATGGAGAGGGATGGCGATGGGAATGTGGACGCGAATGGCGGCAGTGACAACGGCAGCGGCACTCAAGTGGCCACCCAGGTGAGGAATGGGTTTCTCTTGCCTTGCACGTACCATGGCATGCCGGTACCATCCCCGCGTTCCTCCCTACCCTCCCCGCTCCACCCTTTCATGTCCCCGTTCCCCCTCTTCCATCCAACTACTCCTTGTCCAAGTCTCTTTCTCTCCTCACCCGCCCACGCCTCTCAAGCACATGCCCCCGCCTCTCAAGCACATGCCCCCGCCTCTCAAGCACATGCCCCCGCCTCTCAAGCACATGCCCCCGCCTCTCAAGCACATGCCCCCGTCTCTCCGTAGCTGTCCGTCCGTACCTGTTGCCATCCTGCCCTTCCTTTCGTCGTCACCCCCCCCACTCTTCCTTCACCCCCCTCAGACCCCCGCTATTCCACGGCGTCACTTACTCACTCACTCTCCCATTCCCCCCGCGCCCTCTGATCGCGCCAGGTGGATAACCAGCACGCGCAAGCCGCCAAGGCGCAGCAAGCGCGGGGGGAGAAGGGGAAGAAAGGGGAGAAGGCGGAGGTGGGCGAGATGGGGGAGGAAGTGGAGACGAGGCAAGGTGCAGGTGCTGCGAGGGGCAACGGGCGGGATCCAGGAGGGTTGAGAAAGGGCCGTTCGCCGCAGCAGCAGCAGCAGCAGCAGGGCAGGGGGGGCTGGGGGTGGAATGGGGGCAGCGGGGGCAGGGCGGAAGGGGTGGTGGCGGCGGAGGCAGTGCGCGCAGCTGAGGCAGTGGTGGAAAGCGCGCAGGCGTCCGGGGAAGGTTCGACCAAGAAAGAGGAGTGTGAGGGGCCGGCGCGAGGGGAAGGGGATGGGGAAGCGGGGGACGAGGCGGAGCAAGTGGCGGGGGAAGAGGCGGCGGAGGAGGCAGAGGTGGATGGGAAACAACAGGAGGGGGAGGAGGAGGTGGTGAAAGGGAGAATGCATCGTGCTGCAGCTGACTGTGACGCTGCTGCTGCTGCTGGTGCTGCTGCTGGTGCTGCTGCTGGTGACAGTGCTGCTGTTGCTGCCGAAAGGGAAACCGGAATGGATGTTGTAGGAGCAATCACAACGGATTCGGTGGCAGGAGCACCGGCAGTCGAACCTGAAACTGCTGCTGATACTGGTGCTGCTGCTGCTGCTCCTGCTGGTGCTGGTGCTGGTGCTGGTGCGGGTGCTGCAGTGGTGGTAACACCTGTGGTAACGCAAATGGTGACCTCAGTGGTAGGCTGCTTACACAACGGATCACTCTCCCAGGGGGCTGTTCCTGCTCTTATCGAGATGGCTTGTAAGGCGGACAGAGAGGGGAAGAAGGTGAGGTGGAACTTCGGCACAGAGGAGGAAGCTGCCAAGGAAGGTGCAGAGGAAGGTGCTGAACAAGCTTCTTCTCCTGCTATGAATATAGGGGGCGTGAAAGCGGAGAATCCTCTTGAAAAGAACGTGACTGTAAAGGGCGGAGGCGCTCAGGAGGACTTTGTAATGCGGGAAGGCGATGAGGGGATGACAGTGGGAGGGGGGCATGGGGACGGGGCTGCGGAGCAGCGGGCGGAAGGAGAGATCAAGAGAGGCCGAGATGAGAGGGGATATGAGGGGTCGGAAGGAGAAGAAAGAGCAGCAGGAGCAGCAGGAAGAGCAGGGACAGACAAATCCGAGGGAGCCAAGAGGGCAGCAGAAGGATCGGAGGGGGGAGGGGAGGAGGACGCTAGGAGAGTGAGGAGGCGAGTGGAAGCTGACGAGGGTGGGAAAGGAGGGCGACGGGATGCAGAGGTGGCGGCGTGGGACAATGCAGCAATGCGAGTGGAAGAGATGGAGGAGCAGAGGGAGAGGGAGAGGGAGAGGGAAATGGAAAGGGAGAGTCCGCGGCAGGAGGGCAACTGGAGACAGGATCAGAGCTACTACCATCAGCATCACAACCAGCATCAACATCAGAACCAGCATCACCAGCAACAGCACATGCACGTTCAGCACCATGCATCGCAGCACCATACAGCAGCATGGCAGCAAGCGGCGTGGCAGCAGTCGCCCTGGCAGCACTCGGGTCTCTCTGCCTTCACGCGCTACACCACAGCACCCCCTGCTGCTGCATTCCCTCTTCCCCATCCTGCTGCTGCTGCTTCCGCTGCCGCTGCTGCTGCTGCTGGTTCTTCTGCTGCTGCTGCTCCTCTTGCTGCTGCTCCTACAGCCGCTATTCCTCTCGCTGCTGCTGCTCCAGGCCCCAGCCGTTTGCTCTCGCCTCGGGTTACAAGCACACCTGAAACTGGCGCTTCTGGTACTATCACTCCCGGTTCATCCGTAGCCGTCACAGGACTTGGGCAGCACCAACAATCACACCATATGCATCAGCATGACCATCACCATCACCATCACCAGCAACACCATCAGCACCAGCAGCAGCAACAGGAGTGCAGGCAGCTGTTATTCCCCCAGAGCCCAGCCCACCCAGTGTCGAGCCAACCGCCCAAGTCCGTGGTTGGTTCGGGTGGTTTGGTTGGAGGCTCGGGTGGTACGGGAGGTTCGGGTGGAGGCTCGGGAGGGAAGATGGACGGCAGCAGCGGGCTGACGAGCGTTCGCGACGGTGGTGGTAACAGTGGTAGCGGAGGGAGTGGGGAGAAGGGTAGCGCGAATGTGGAAGGGAGGAGGAGAGGAGGGAATGAGGGGGAGAGTGGAATGGCAGTGTCGCAGAGAATACCAGGACGTGGGGATGCTGTTGCTGCAGGAGCAGCAGACGCAGCTGCAGCACCAACTGCCACTGCAGCTGCAGCACCACCAGCACCACCAGCAGCACCAGCTGCGGCGGCAGCTGCAGCGGCAGCGGTAGCGGCCGCAGCGGCAGCAACAGCAGCAGCACCGCGAGAAGCAGCAGCAGCTGCGCTCCTTGGACTGGGAACAATCAGCCCGGCAGCACCAACGCCACTGGCAGCAGCAGCAGGGCAGCATAGGGAGGCCTCTCCTTTCCGCTACAACCCCGCTCTCCCCTCCCCCTTCGCCCACCCATTCGGTGATTCATACCCCGCTCCCCCTCCTGCTGCTGCTGCTGCTGCAGCTGCCATGTTCCATCCCTTCAACCCTTTCTCTCTGCTGCCCGGACCCAACGGTTTTCCAGGCCTGGGCAGACCCACCACGCCAATGCGAGGAGTTTCACCTGCCCAGGGGGAGGACCTGGACGGGTGCGGGGCGGCAGGGAGCAGCGGGGAGGGGCAAGGAGGGAGGGATGGGAGAACAGCAGCATTGGGTGGTAGTACCTGTGGAGCTGCGGATCTCGATTCTGCTGCTGCTATTGCTGCTGCAGCTGCTGCTGCAGCAGCTGGACCTGCTGGCCTTGCTGGGAATCCTAATCCCACTCCGTCTCCACCGTGCATTACCCCTCCAGGGCTTCCGCCCCTCTCAGGGTTTCCACTTGACCATTCCGCGGGTGTGTACCTGCCTCCTGTGTACTATGCTGCTGCGGCTGCTGCGACGGCAGCGGCAGGGGTACCCCCTCCGTGGCTGTACGCGCCTCAGATGCCGCAGCTGGCTCAGCAGGCCATGCAGCAAGCGTTGCTGCAGCAGATGCAAGCACAGCAGCACCTGCAACTGCAGCAGCAGCAGCAGCAGCAGCACCAGCAACAGCAGCAACAGCACGGGCAGTTTCAGCTACCCCAAGTGCCGGCACCAGCAGCAGCAGCACCACTAGCAGCAACAGCGGCACCAGCGGCGGCAGCAGCAGCACAGCAGCTGAATCTCCTGTCAAGCCTGGCTCCTCCCAGCTTCTCGACCTCGCCTTTCCTCCCCACCCGCCCGCCCCTCTCCCACCTGCCCGCACACGCCCCGCACGCCTCCTCCCATCCTTCGCCTCTCTCGCGCCCTGCCTCCCTCTCCTTCCTTTCAACTCCCTCACTCTACCCAAGCCCCACGGCAATGTCTCTTGAGCACCAAGGTGTATCCCCTCAGGAGATTCACATAGGCACAGCAACTGCTGCTGTTGCTGCTGCTGCCACTGCTGCCGCCGCCGCCACTGCTTCTGCTGCTGCTGCTGCCACTGCTGCCGGTGCTGGTGCAGCTACAGGCAGCACGGCATGTGCCAGCCGTCTTCCTCCTGCCCCTGTGCTCAAGCTGCCTCTCCCCCCGTGGACCATGGGAGGGGGTAGCAGGCAGCAGCATGGGCAAGACGAGCGAGGGAGGGAGCATGTGAGGGACCAAGGGAAAGAGCCAGGGAGGCGGCAAGGAAAGGAGCATAAGAGGGAGGAAGGGAAGGAGAAGGAGCATGGTGAGGTGGTGCCAAACAGTGAAAATAGAGATGGCAGGGAAGCTGATGCTGCTTGCGAGAATAGACAGCAGCAGCGCCACCATCACCACCACCACCATCACAATCAGCATCAGCATCATCAGAGCCAGCTGGTGCGTGAAAGCAGCTTCAGTGCCGTATCTCCTGCCGTCGTCGGCTCTTCTGCTGCTGCTGCTGGGCCTATACCAGCATCTGCAGCTGCAGGAGCGGCGGTGGCAGCAGCAGCAGCTGCCAGCAATCGCCAGAGCACAAATGCTTTCACTGAGGATGGTGGTAAAGCGAATGTTGATGGAACTGTGTATGGGAGCGGAGAGGGTGGGAGTGGGAGTGGGAGTGGGAGAGGGAGAGGGAATGGAGATGAAAGTGGGGTGCAGAGTGGTCAGGGCAGTGGGGGCGGGGGCAGTGGCGGTGTAGGTAGCGCTCAGGACAGCAGGGAAGCAGCTCCTGCAGGGGTTGAGGGTGGCAGCACCAATGGTCATCCCTTGCAGACGCGACAAGAGGGCACAGACGGTACAGCGGCAAATGTGTGGAGAGCAGGCGAGGAGGCACGGCGCAGGGAGGGTATGACTGGGTGCAGTAGGGATGGCAATGGCACTGGGAGCATGCACACGCCTGTGGAGGCGGGCCGAGGCAGTGGGGTGAAAATGGTCAGTCTGATGGGGCAAGCTGTGGCGTTCCCCCCCTGCGCTGCTGACACATCTGCCACGCCTGCCACCACGACCGGTGAAGTGGTGGATGCAGAGGAGGAAGGCAAGGAGGGGGAGATGGCGGAGGGGGGACGGGGCACGTGTGGAGCAGTAGTAGCAGGAGGAGGAGTTGACACGGCAGCACAACAGTGCCATGCCATGGATGTTTCCAGCTCAGGAGCCGGGATCTCCCAGCCTCAAGAGACGGCTGCAGCTGAAGCTGCTGCGTATGCTGCATGTGCCTGTGGTGGGCCTGGTTGTGGGCTGTCGCAAGGCTCTGGGCAGTGCCAGGCTGCGCTGGGGGGTGCAGGAGGAGGGTGTGCGGCTGGGGCTGCCGTTCCGACTGTGCTGAGTCGGCAGGCGGTGCGAGAGGCAGCGCTGAATAAATTCAGGCAGAAGCGCAAAGACCGGTGCTTCGAAAAAAAGGTACGCGACGATTTGTTTTAAGGCTTTGCTTCTTGGGAATGTCTTATTGTGACGTGTACCGATTTCATGGGTTGCCGTATATATGTACTTATTCAGCTGCTCCTTGCTGTGCTTTTGTCCTTTCAGGTTCGTTACCAGAGTCGGAAGCGTCTGGCAGAGCAAAGGCCGCGGTTTAGGGGCCAGTTTATAAAGCAAGCTCCTGCAGGTGTTGGTGCTGGAGCAGCTGGTGATTTGGTACTGGGCTCTCAGCCTCATGCCAATAAGGAATGGAACAACCAATACTAACATTACTGACTAGCGTGTGCATAGAGTAGCGTTGTGATGTGCTGATGTGCTAGTATCTGTCGATTAAGATACGCTGATTTGTTTTAGTAAAAACGTGAAATAATGCATTCTTCTACGTATATTGGTAGGACCAGTGAGTGAGGGATGTAGAGTTCAGAATTTCCATTGCCCTATGCATATGGCAAGGTACCTGTTATGAGCCTGTAACGAATACCCATTTCAAGTGTAATAATAACCAGAGGTCCTGCTTCGTCCGCGAAGAAGTCGAACGAAGCCCTGACATCCCTTCTGGTAACACTGGCAGAAGCTGCGCTTCGCCGAAGTTGACAGGATCTCAGAGAAGCTTTCCGAAACTCCCATTTCAAACGAAACTGTTCGCAGAATCGCACGATCTACTCTCACCAGCACTCAGCGTCGCGTCTCCGTCGCAGACACGATGGAGTGACCCCGAGTCCCTTCAGTTCAGGCACCCATGCGACACTCACACCACCTCCATACAACCACCCCAGCCACTTCATAGTTCCTTTCTTCCTCCCCAGATTCATCCAACCAGCTGATTCCCAAAGAGAACACGGTAGCCTTAGTTTGGGCACTGATCAGGATCTGTCGTCGTCCTAAGTAGGCCTAGCTCGTTCTGAGATTAGGCTAGGTGCTATCGTACCTTTGAAAATGTCCGCCTTCACTGGGACGACTACAAAATGCAAGTCTTGCGGAAAGACCGTGTACTTGATGGAGCAGTTGATTGCCGATGGGGTCATCTTCCACAAGCATTGTTTCCGGTGAGTTCCTCTGGAGTGCATATCCATCGCGTGTGCCCACACAAACGCTGACCTAGATTGTCCATGTTGTGTGTATTGAGCAGGTGCTTTCATTGCAAGGGCACTCTTAAGGTGAATATTTGTTAGACAGCTTGTTCTCCTCTTAAACACGATTCATAACGTTGGCTAAAGGTCTCTGTTTTCTGTCCCAACAGCTGAATAGTTTCGCTTCGCTTGAAGGTGTTCTGTACTGTAAGCCGCACTTCGATCAACTCTTTAAGAAAACTGGGTGCTACAACAAGAGCTTTGAGGATGCCATCAAGTCGGAGAAGGAGAAAACTGTGGCACCTGGGAGTGAGTATGATATTTCTACTCGGATTGTATGGCTTAAGTACTTCGAGTGCGAGTATCTCAGTCTTCTTTTGTTGCCTCAGGTGTGACATCTACCACTGGCGTATCAAGATACGGAGGAGACAACAAGGTAGGCCAGAACTGATTTTCCTCGTCTTTTTTCCTTTTAACCAAGCCAACTTGGTTCTTGATCGTAATCACTTGATTTTGATACTATGCAGAGGGTCGTCAATCCTTTGGCAGCGAGGTTCGGCGGGACGCAGGAGAAGTGCGTAGTTTGCAGCAAGACAGTCTACCCCCTGGAAAAGGTAAGTTTGACTCCGACTCCCCTACTGCTTTTGCTGATGGATGCGCTCTCGCGCTCACATGGGATTTCATGCCGTTTCAGGTGAGTGTCGAGAACTCCACGTACCACAACCAGTGTTTCAAATGCGTCCACAGTGGATGCAAGCTCACGACCTCGACTTACCAAGCACTGGGAGGGAAGCTGTACTGTAAGGCGCATTTCCAACAGCTGTTCTTGAAGAAGGGCAATTTTACAGAGATGCAGCGTGAAACTGGCGACGGGGCTGATGCTGGATCACAAGCCGCAGCTGCGGTGACATCTGTGTCCATATCCAAGCCCTCAAGTGCCTCGCCTGCAAAGTCTGCGGCTGCTGCCGTTTCGGAACCTCCGTCCGGCTCAGTTATGAAAGAAGAGGAGGTTCCACCCCCGAAGCCCGTGGCTGCTTCCTCTTCAACACCTCCCCCAGCTGCTGCAACCTCAACACCATCTAAGCCAGTTGAAGAAAAGAAACCGCCTCCTCCAGCCACAAAGGATGATACCGACTCTGATGATGACAGCGACGATGATAGCGACGACTCAGATGATAGCGACGACTCCGACTCTGATTGAGCAGAGTAGAACCGGTGAGGTGAGAAATCTAGCACTCGACATCATGGACATGCACCTGATCTTAGGTTCAAGTATTTACATATTCACATCACTTCGACATGTAGGCGGGGCACATAGAGCTAAGGCTAAACTTTCTGAATTTGCTGTTTGAAGTCAAAGAATTCAGAGTCCTTGTCGAGGTCTTCTGTTTTGCTTGGCGTGGTGAATAGTTGGAGGTGCTTACATGGTGTAGCTTAAGCTCTTGAGTTTCCATGCAGCTTGTATAATGATAATTCTAAATATCCGTAATTTGTAGCGCAAAACTGTAGTTGAGAATGGTAGTGGTATTCCAGTTTGTGGTGTGGAATAGAGCCGATCGAAAAGAATGTCCGTCAGTGTGCTCAGATGTTTGTCGGATTTAATTCGCAACCCTTGAACTAGCATTTCGCCAACCTTCCTCACCCCACAAACTCGAGGCGCCAAAATCGCGCACTCTGTAACACAGACCAGCGTGAACCAACCAATGACCATAATCAAAGATGGTTCTCCAATGCGATTGGTCCCCTGAGATATGTTAACAAGTTATGGATATTGGCTAATGTCAATTTCTGCACACTTGTGTTGGAAAGCCCGACTTTTTCCCCAGGCAGGAAACCTGGTTGAGAAAAAGCTGAGTGCTGTGCATAGAAGCTTGGTCACTAACCGTTGTTGCTCCAACACTGACTACCAAGTTCCATGGCCTCCATCACCATGCAGGCTGCGTCTACGGCCGTTCTGGCCAAGTCCGCCTTCCTTGGCGCTGGCCAATCGCGCCTTGCTAAGTCGACCCGTGCTGCTGCGCAGTCAGCATCCGTGTCGGCCCTTAAAATAGAGGCCAAGGGCAACTGGCTCCCAGGTTCTACATCTCCGGCCTGGCTTGATGGCAGGTACTTCACTGTCTGCGTCGTCTACGCTGTAGTGTATTTTTGATAGGCACCGAGGGAAAAAACAATACCGAACCGCTCTCAGTACTCAGATATTAAAATGCGCTCATCTTGTTTCCGTGATGCAGCCTTCCCGGCGACAACGGCTTCGATCCCCTTGCCCTGGCTGAGGATCCCGAGAACCTCAAGTGGTACGTCCAGGCCGAGCTCCAGAACGGCCGCTGGGCCATGCTCGGTGTTGCCGGCATGATCATCCCCGAGGCTCTGACCTCCGCTGGGCTCCTGAACGTGCCAGTGTGGTACGACACTGGTGTCGCTGAGTTCTGGTGCCCCACTCCCACCCTGTTCGCGATCGAGTTCATCCTGTTCAACTTCGTGGAGCTTCTGAGGTGGCAAGACATTAAGAAGCCCGGCAGCGTGAGCACGGACCCCTTCTTCAAGAACAACAAGCTTCCTGCTGGTGATGTGGGTTACCCCGGCTTCAACCCCCTGGGTATGGGGACTGACTTCCGCACCAAGGAGAGCGAGCTGGCTAATGGTGAGTAATCTTTTTTTTAGTGTGCTTGATGTCTCGTTATTTTTGTTTTCCTCACTAAAATAATCCTCTTATCTTGCTCATCCATTTCCAGGCCGTACCGCCATGATGGCTTTCTTGGGCTTCATCATCCAATCGCACGTCACTGATGCTGGTCCTTACGCCAACCTCGTTGCCCACCTTTCTGACCCATGGAACACCACCGTTTTCCAGAGCCTGGATGCCTTTTACGGATCTCACTAAGTTAAAAAAACCTGTACATTTTGAAATATAGTGCTGTCAAATGTTTATATATTCTATATATTGTTAGATAGGCTACTGTGAGTTGCCCTCTAAAGGGTACAACACTTTAGGTCGACATTTGTATCTCCTTGTCCCTCCTTACTCAAACATTACTCTCGACACTTGTCTCCTAGCCTATCTTAAGATGGTATTAGAGTAGGTTTTTTACTCCCTCCCACGCTTCCGCTCCCTCCCTTAGCCGGTCCCGAGGCGCCCGTCCCTTAGGCCCCGTTTCGTCGCGGGTAGGACGGCCCCCGCGGGCCTCGTTTTTGTCGCGTTTAAGGGCCCCCGCGGGCCTCGTTTTCGTCGCGTTTAAGGGCCCCCGCGGGCCTCGTTTTTCGTCGCGTTTACAGGGCCCCACTGGCCCCTCGTTTCGTCGCGCTCCAGAAGGGACTCTCCCCCCCCCCCCCCCCGCGGGCCCGCGTAGTCGTTCTTAGCCCGCAGCAGCGCGCGCGTTAGCCAGCGGCAGCCGCGCACGCCACTGCAGCACGCGCATTGCAGCAGCAGCGCGTGCTTTGCTGCAGCAGCACGGCTAGGCAGCAGCGCGTGCATTGCAGCAGCAGCACGGCTAGGCAGCAGCGCGTGCATTGCAGCAGCAGCACGGCTAGGCAGCAACGTGTGCATTGCAGCAGCAGCACGGCTAGGCAGCAGCGCGTGCTCCTGCAGCAGCAGCACGGCTAGGCAGAAGCTAGCCGCCAGCAGCAGCTAGCCACCGGAACCTAGCCGCCAGCAGCTGGCGCCAGCTAGCCCCTCCCACCCGCCCACAGCCCCTTTCAACCGCTCACAGCCCCTTCCAACCGCTCACAGCCCCTTCCAACCGCTCACAGCCCGTTCCAACCGCTCACAGCCCCTTCCAACCGCTCACAGCCCCTTCCAACCGCTCAGAGCCCCTTCCAAACGCTCACATCCCCTTATCACGCGCGCACACCACCCAGGACCACCCGACCTCCGTTGGTTCGACACTCGCGTCACTCATACTCACAGTGTTTCGCACCGTCGCGGCTGGAGGCCGCTCCGCTTAGCTGTTTAGGCTAGTCCTGACGTTCGTTGTTAGCTAGGTCTCTCCTCGCTCCGCCAGCCCCTCGAACGACCCTCTGGCTCCTCGATCGGCTCGTCAGCCCTGCCTCCTCCAGCCGTGTGCTCCTAGGTCAGCTAACTCCCAGCTCCGTTCGTTACTAGACTGGCGTTCCTAGCTCAGTTTACCTCCGTGCTCCAGCAGTACCTCGCCTAGTCCCACCTGGCGCTCCTCGCTCCTAGCTCCGTTTGCTCCGTGCTCCAGCTGTTCCTAGCCTAGCGTCCAATATGGACTCCTCCCGCCGCCTTCGTTTCGATGCAGAGGGGCGCCCGATAGAGTTCGGCACCTGGCTCCGCCAGACTCAGCGCTATCTCACCAGTCAGCGCCAGGACGGCGCCACCCTGTACGCCCACGCGTCCGGCGCCCTCCAGGCACCACCGCGTCCCGAGCCCCTCCCTGCCGTGCCCCCCCCGACTCCGGAGGCACAGGCGGACTACGCTCGTCTCGTCTTGGCGCGGGACGTTTGGGACTCCCGTGACGCTGCGGCTGCACTCGCGCTGACCGAGCTCCTTCCACCGACTGAGGCCGCTCACTTCGACCTGGTAGAGACTGCGAAGGAGGTGTATGATGCTATTTCTGCACGCTATTCCACCCCTTCCTCTGCCTCCCTCAGCCGCATCCTCATGCCGTTCGTGTTTCCCGACCTCGGCTCTTTTGCGACTGTCTCTGACCTAGCCACACACTTGCGCTCCCTTGTCGCTAGCTACCGAGCAGCTTGCACTGAGGCTCAGCTTCTTGTTGCTCCTCCTCCTATTTGGCTCACAGTCCACTGGGTAGTCACTCGTCTCCCTGACCGCCTCTCCACTGCCCGTGACGCACTTCTCCAGCATCACCCCAGTGAGCTTACGATTGATCTTCTCGAGACCACTCTCGGGAAGCTCGAGAGTAACCTCCTCTCTGTTGCCTCAGCCACTGACGCAGTTGCCCCTCGTTTGTTTGAGGGGTGTGCTGTCCCCCAGCTTCCTACCTTCACTGCTACACGTGCCTCTGCTGCTGTGTCGGTTTCTGAGGACACTGCAGCTGTTTCTGCCGCTGACAGGCAGAAACGGGGCAAGGGGGGCAAGAAAGGGGGGAAGGGGGGTGGCGGCGGTGGAGGAGGTGGCGGTGGTGGAGGCGGCCCTGGGGGCGGCAGTGGTGGCGGTGTTGCCCCAGGCGGAGGGAGCTCTGGAGGAGGTGCTGACCCACCTGCTGGAGGAGGTTCGACCAGCGGTGGTGCGGGGCCCCAGCAGCAGCAGCCACAGCAGCAGCAGCCACAGCAGAGACAGCAGCTGCACCAGGGACAGCAGCAGTGGCAGGCACCACAGCAGTTTCAGACGTGGGGACCCCCACTGCAGTGGGGTCCGCAGCAGCACTGGGGCCCTCCGCCACAGTGGGGACCTGGAGGACCCGGGAGCACTGGCCGCAGCAGCAGCGCTACCAGCTGGGCCCCTCGCCCCCCGCGGCGCGACACCGGCCCCTGCGACCACTGGTGCGTCACCGGACCTGGCAGTCCCTGTGTCTGCGGCCGCGACGACCACTCTGCAGCGCGGTGCTTCCGCCGCCTCGACGACCTCTACCGTGCACGCTGGGGTCCTGAGGCGACCACCCCGCGCTGGGCTCGCCTGCTAGCCCGTAAGATTCCTGTATTTGAACTGTCTATGGACGATGCTCGTCAGTATGCTTTGTATGCTGATGTTGACTATAGTGCTGATGGATTTGTGTGCTCGCGTGTTCGTAGTCTAGGATGCTTGCCTCCTGTTAGTGTAGACCTGTGCCTCTCTAGTCTAGGTGCTTGTGTTTCTGCTCTAGGTGCTTGTGTAGCCTCCGGACCTGACACGCCTCCGGCTGAGGCGTCTCTGTCGTTCACGCTGGACTCTGGCGCGTCGCAGTGTTTCTTCCGCGACCACACGACCCTCACACCACTTCTTGCTCCGGTTCCGGTAGCTTTGGCTGATCCTTCTTCAGGACCAGCTGTTGCGCGCAGCTCCACCACCCTCCCGTGCCCTGTGGTCCCCTCTGGTGTCTTGCGCGGCCTCCACATCCCCTCGTTCACTCGGAACTTGGTGGGTGTTGGATACCTCCAGGACAGGGGGATCACCGTTACCTTTGTGGGGGGGGGGGCGGACTGCAGTCTGTACTGACGCTACCACAGGTGCTGTTCTGGCCACGTTCACCAGGGAGCCCCGCTCCGGTCTCTACGTTCTCCACACCGAGCGCTCCCCGGTCGCGTCCTCCCCTCAGGTTGTTGCGTCCCCTCCGGCTCAGGTCCCCAGTCCAGTTGCTGTGTCTAGCCAGGTAGTCGTGTCCAGTCCGGTCGCTGTGTCCAGTCCAGTCGCTGCGTCTTGCTCCTGTCGCTCTCTCGCCCACCGCACCGTCCTGTGGCACCACCGTCTTGGCCACCCGTCGATCCCTCGCCTTCGTGGCATGCTCAGTCAGGGACTAGTCACAGGTCTCCCACGCACCTTCCCGTCGCTCCCTCTCTCGCTTGCCCCTCCTTGCTCTCCGTGCGTCGCCGGTCGCTTACGCGCCACTCCCCACTCCTCCTCCCTTCGTCCGGCCACCGCTCCCTTCGAGACTCTCCACTTGGACGTCTGGGGCCCTGCCCCGACGCAGGGGTCTGGGAGGGAGCGTTACTTTCTGGTGGTCGTCGACGACTTCTCCAGGTACACCACAGTGTTCCCTCTTGCGAAGAAGTCCGAGGTGACTGCTACGCTGATCAGGTGGCTTCTAGCCACTGAGGGCACTCGTGGTCGTCGAGTCAGTTGTCTTCACTCCGACCGTGGGGGCGAGTTTCGCTCCGGCATTCTCGGCGGATTCTGCGGCGAACAGGGCATCACCCAGTCCTGGACGCTGCCAGAGTCCCCACAGCAGAATGGGGTTGCTGAGCGCCGCATAGGCTTGGTCATGGACATCGCCCGCACGTCCATGATTCATGCCCGTGCGCCCCATTTTCTGTGGCCCCACGCGGTTCGCTACGCCGCACACCAGCTGAACCTCCAGCCGCGTGTCTCGCGGCCCGAGGCTTCACCGACCAGTCTTTGGACTGGATCCCCTGGTGTTGGGTCGGCCTTTCGAGTCTGGGGCTGCCTTGCACTTGTTCGCGACACCTCCGCGGACAAGCTCTCGGCACGCGCCGTCCCATGTGTCTTCCTTGGTTTCCCAGTGGACTCTGCTGACTGGTCCTTTTACCACCCTCCCCTCCACCAGTTCCTAGACTCCCGTGACGTCCGGTTTGACGAGTCCGTGTCCTACTACACCCGGTACCCCTGTCGAGGTCTCCCGGTACCCCCTCCCCCTCTCTTCCTCGCACCCTCTCCTCCTCCTGCTCCCGCTCCTCCGGTACCCCCGCCCCCCCCAGGTCCTGCCCCGTCTGGTGTGTCCCACGCTACCCCTCTACCCTCGGTCGCGCGTCAGGTAGCGTCTCCCTCCCCGCAGTCCTCCTCACAGTCCCCTCAGCAGCCTTCGGCACTTCCGCGACAGGTTACTTTGGACTCGGTTGGTGTTGGAGCTGGAGGTGCAGCCGCTGGCGGTGCTCGGTCTGGGGGTGCTCGGTCGCGGGGTACTGGAGCTGGAGGTGCTGGCGCACGTGACGCTAGCTCTGGGGGTGCTGGAGCTGGAGGTGCTGGCGCAGGTGGCGCTAGCTCTGGGGGTGCTGGAGCAGGAGGTGCCGGCACT